ATTAACTGACTATAATTATTTTTATTCCTTTGACTTTGTTGACGGGTTATATTAAATAAATAACTCGCGTGGAGTAACGTAAATAATTATATTTTAAAAGATGTTCAGACAGATGTAGACAAGATGGGCGCACAATTAGAACTCCTTACAAAACGTGACAGTGTGCACTTTTATACCTGGGGTGTTCGCAGGCATCCCCAAACCATATTTATCGGACGTGTCATAAACCTACCAATATTCTAGGATGTCGATTTTTCAATGCAGTATTCATAAACCATTTTACTTCAACAGACTTATTTTTTAAACTCCGCTTTTCTACTTTTATTACTTTTATCAACATTAGTACTTTTTCACAAGTAAATCCAGCTGTCGTGTACTCGCGTCGGTTTGAGTTATGTTTCAAACTTGGATCACGAGAGAAAAATCGGACTGTTTTCTAACGAGGTCTGAAGCGATCCCGGAATACCCTTTCTCCAACGTTATAATATAAACGACTTGATTATGCGTTCAGCGCTCGGACTCACTCAATACTTGGTTGTTTAACGTTCAGAATGATACTGATTCGAAATTCAGAGGAAGTCACGCATCTCAGCTACTGAGGGCGGAGTTTAATTTTGGAAGTGAAAAATGGGAGAAATAAGAACATTAAGTATTGGTCGTAGGGTGTGGTGGTGGGAAGTGGTGGTAGAAGGTGGTGGTAGAAGGATGAGGTGTCGGGGTTTTGGGGAATTCCGAAAAAAGGAGATAGGACATGAGAGAAGGAAGACACTAGTTCAGTAATTGGAAAATCGGGGCAATGGTTAATAAACTGAGTTCTGGTGGAGAAATTACCGAGGGTACGTGCTTAATAACGGCCCCGGCTAATCCTTTGGGTCGCGGATTCTTCAGGCCCGTCTTGCAATTTCCTTAAGCTATAAAAATAAAAGGAGAAAGGCTCGATGCGAAAATAGACAAAAAAATGTTCGGTAGGGAACACCAGCTACTTGAGTAATAGAATCAAGCAATTACGTTGACATTATTAAACTAAGTATTTAAGTATTATATTACAGCATCTTTGAAATAGATACGTGCAATTAATT